GAGAGACACGCGGACCCACACACAAACACACACAACCATACACCCACACACACACATATATATATATATATATATATACATACATACATACATACATACATACATACATACACCTACACCTACACCTACACCTACACCTACACCTACACCTACACATACACATACACATACACATGCACATATGCATACAAATACACATACACACCTACATACATACACACATACACATACACATACACATGCACATACACATACACATACACATACACATACACACACATACAAATACACATCACATACACACAAATCCAAATACATAATGACACAAGTGTGATGACTGATTGATTGACGTCGGTAGGAGGGGAATTGCTAGTTCACGGTTTTGGTCGAGTGCTGCAAAACTTGCTGCCGACTGCCTACCGACCGTTTCGCGTGGCTCAGTCGCAAGAACGTGTACGGAAGATGAAGCTGTAGACAGCGATTCGGAAACTTTGAACCTGATTTGAACCCTAAGACCTTTAACTTAAACGTCATCTCCTAAACACAAATGCCTTGAAACTGAAAATCCTGAACCTTTGAGCCGCGAAACCTTATGTCGTAAAATCTACAACCCTTCAACTTAAAACCTATTGCGCAAGCTGGACATGCCTGGCCGTTCGTAGATGTCCTGGCTGTGACGATTTCGGACTTGGGCAAGGTCTTCTGTCTCGCGAAGTCCAAACTCCAAACAGATATGCTGAATTGAAACAAATGCTCGACATACTTCCAAAGGGGCACTAGATTCTAGATGCCAAATGCACCGGTTGTGGGAGTCCCCCGAAGTCAAAGCATAGGCACAAAGAGTAAATGCTGCACAGCTCTCCCCTAAACCTCAAACCCTCAACCGATCCCTCTACGCATCGGAACCCCCCGAAATCTGACAGACTGCGTCTTCGTAGTCCTCATGTTGGCCGAAGTGGAGCGGCTGGCAATCCTTACTTTGGGGTTTAGGGTTTAGGGTTTAGGGTTTAGGGTCTAGGGTCTAGGGTAAACTGGGAAAACTCGCCAGCTACATCGGTCTACTGCTACTGGTGGAAGGACAGCGTTTAAGTGCGAGGATGAGAACAATAATACGATGGAGAAGAAGGACAATCAGTAAGAGTTTTAAGCGGAAGAGATATAAGAACCTAAACACTGGTATTGACAATCTTAGTGATAATAGACATATTTTCACTAATAGTAATAGTGACAGTAAGCATACTGCATAATGGTAATACGAAGGCTTTGAGGTATCAAAAGACTTGGGAACGCACGTCGACTGCCCCAGCTGAACGGAGTGCAGCGGTGGCGCAGCCTCGAGCACAGCCGCTAGATCCGCAGCTTTCGGGCTGTAATCGGGCCTCTTATAATCTGGTACCGAACCTTCTTCACCAACAAGGCTTCGTGACCGATTTTTCATAAGAACCGGCGAGAACGTCGCTTCTGCGCCGGAAAAGCTGTCTTCAGAATGCTATGCGCGCCACCATCACGAAGGCTTCGCTTGCTGTGGCCACCAAAACGATGGCAGCAGCTGCTGCAGCGATCCAGACCTGCAGGACTTCGGGTAGACGGTCTCTTTAGGGCCGCATTTTGAGTTCAGAGGGCTTCGTATGGCGTTGTCTACTAAGACGACGACTACCGCTTCTCTCCTCCTACTCCTGAAACTCCTGCTAATGCTACTACTACGGCTACTGCCGCTGCTACTACTACTACTACTACTACTACTACTGCTAACACTGCTACTACTGCTACTGCTGCTACTACTACTACTACTACTACTACTACTACTACTAGTACTAGTACTGCTCCTGCTGCAGCTGTTGCTGCTACTACTGCTACTGCTTCTGCTCCGGCTACTGCTACTGCTACTGCTGCTGCTACCACTACTGCTACTGCTACTTCACCTTCTTACTGCTTCTTCTACTTGCCATTGCAACAGCGCTTACTTTCAAGGCTTTCTTCTACTGTCACTGTTCCTATGACTCGCGCAGGTCCTGTTGCTGTTACACTTGCTCTTACATTCCATACGAACCATTAGCCAATAATCTCACCATGTCCTTACTAACAGTGCCATGGCATTGATTAACATCGTACGTGTTCGCATGACCTTTGCCGGTACTGCAATCAGAACTTACATTATGATGGCGATGTGGCAATATGCAAAGCAACAGAGCGGACGAGCCTAAAGGGCCTACAAGGCGCTGTGAAAGACTCATGTGGGTAGTTCTCTAAATTAGGGTCCCTTTTTGGGTCCCCAATATAGTACGGCACCCTTATAAAAAGGACCCCAAAAGGGACCCTAATTTAGAAAACTACCCATGTATCTCACCGATCGACCTGTCCCCGACTCGGCGCTGTTGTTCGAGATCCACGTCCGGAAACTGTCATCCTGCTCGCAGAGCCTGACAGCGTACCGTTGCCGTTCCCTGCCAACTTTCAATCTTTGGAGAGATGGCGAATGCAAGCCTGGCTCACAGTAGGTGGATTTCAGGCACGAGCAATGTGCTATGGGGTACCTCGCTGTGACATTTGAGCCCAGATGGCCAGCAGCCACAGCTTGAAGACTTGAAGATGGAAGCCACTGCTCGATAGATTCTCATATCCACGTCTTGTACCCGGGATGCTGCATGACATCCACCATGAAGCGTCTTGAAGTCAAACATGCCCGCATCCCGGCTTCTTCGTAGCCGTACGGGTTGTTGCTCTGCCACTTCCATGCACTTTCGCACATCTCCTGACAAGGATGCATCTGTCGCGTGCATTTCGAAGCCAGTTTCTATGCTTTCGGCCCTCCCCCATTCCAACCCTGCGGGTCCTTGAGCCCACGCTTGGTCTCCCAGCCAAAGTCGGCTTTTGCCTTTGCTGGGAAAACCCCGAAATCTCAGCAGCTTTGGGGACGCCACCGCCCCAAACCCCGACAAAGAAGATCCGACGTTCAAAGCCCTTGGCAAGCCTTGGACGCGTTGGCAACCACCTTCCCCAAATCTCCAGCTCTTCGATCCACGACCTGCGCAAGAGCCAAAGAATTAGGAAACCTATATACTACCATACTATCTACATTATTTTGTACGGAATTATCTTATACTGTTAAATCTAAATCATATCATACTACATTGTCTTACCTATACGTCTGTATTTTATGATAATATTTTATATTATACTATACCTTTTATGTTGTACTGTATTGTATAGCATTATCGCGTACTGCGTTCCAATATGTTATATTGGACTCTCTCATGGCGTAACAGAAGAAACATTCTGCTTGGCGGGAGCTGGGTTCAAGCTTTGCTAAACGCTCAGGGTTCTGAGTATACTCTATTCCGTTACACTCTATTCGATTATACTCTAAGATGCCATGATAGATGATGTTTGTTCTGCTATATTAAGTGATATTACATTGCAGTACCCTAGGCTACATTATATCTTAATGTGTTATAGTATAGTATTGTATACTATACTCTACTCTAACGGTGCTGTACTGTAAAATAGTATAATGAGATATACTAATGTTTTGTTAGTTTGAAGTGTATTATACCAGATTATAATGTACTGCAATATGTATATTGTAATATAGTATATTGTATTGTATTTTGTTACATTACAATTTATGATATGTCTTTATAACATACTAAAATGAATCATAACATGTTCGATTCTACTATGTGCTATCATAAGACCGTAATATGGCAAGATATATCATACTTTGCTGTATTATCTGATGTTATATTATGCTGTATTTGGTATTTTTATCTTGTACTATATGACATCATACTGCAATAAACTGTATCATGTCATACCATGTCCTAACAAATTAGAAGATATTGTTGGGTTACATCAAATTACACTATGCTTTGGTTTATACAGTGCCTTATAATGTGTTATAGTGACCTCTTGTATTTTTAAATATATGGTAAAATGTAACATTATACTATGTTAGAGTCCTGTATCTTATATTATATGTCATAATACTATAGTATACTATACTATAATCTACTATACTATACTATACCATACTATACTATACTATACTTCCTATGCGACTATGTGCTGATATATTTCTCTTCACTGTACCATACTAAGCTATGTTTAAAACATTATGCTACATTACTACACTACATTGTATCTTAATGAACTGAAGTATACGGTATACGACACTATTGTATCATATGCTATACTATACTATACAATACTATACCAAAATTTTATACCATCTATCACATCAGATTAGACTACATCACACTACATTATGTTTTCCGATGCTAGTGTATACTATGGCATACTTAGCATCATGTGCACGTCACAGGTTGACATCAGAAGTCCCTCCGCAGCTTCATCGTTCATACAGTTCTGACGGAAGACAGCTGTGTGAACCTACTGTTGATGGACAAAATTCTGCATGACCCACATATAGTATAGTACCATAATTCCCATAGCTTAGGTATATAAGGTCATGCAGGATTTTGTCCATCAACCGTATTTCAGGCGCAGCCTTCTGCAATGCTTCCAGGGGCCGCTTCCGTAGATTTGCTGTAGGCAGAAGCAACAGGCAAGACAGGTGCATTTGAATCTTCCGACTTTGGGTGGCCTTTTTAGGGGTTGAGGGTTTTGAGAGCTTAGTTTGGCTATGCAAACCTATACACACTGTATTCCTCCTCAGCCCTCCTCCTCCGGCCTTGTATGGGATGGACTTGCCAGACGCTGCCTGCAAAAGCCGCCACGGCAGCAACTCTCGGAGACTTGACCCCTCATTCCAAGGTCCACATCCCTAGCTACCGGCCCTCAACAACAAGCAATGCAATTCCAGGCCTTGAACTTAGGCTCTAAATCTCTACCCCCCCCCTTTCACCCTGCCACGAGCACCAAAATCCGCATGCTCTGCGAGAGCTGCCGAAAAACAACCGTACCGATGGAGTTTGTGGCAACACTGTCGCGCCGGTGGTAGAGTTGCTGCGGCTGCTGTAAGAGGTTTGGGAGTCTTTTAGTCGCGGCAGTAGTAGTAGTAGTAGTAGTAGTAGTTGTTGTTGTTGTTGTTGTTGTTGTGGTTGTTGTCGTCGTCGCCGTCATGGTAGGAGTTGTTGCCGCAGTGGGAATAGGAGTTGCAGCATTTGTCCAATGGTGGCTTCTTCAACAGATCATCAGTCTGCCTGGCTTCGGGAATGTTGAGTTCTCTGCAAATGCTTCATCAAATCCGATTTAGATTCTTTGCTACGTGTTGATAATTGCTTTTGCATCTTTGATGCAGGGCTTCTGGTCAGGCGGTTGGATTACAACATCTTGCCTATGCCAATGTTGTTGCTGGAGCACCACTCGCGAAGGTAGCCAGTCGTCGTTACGATGACGTCGTCACCGACACAATCGCATCATATGCTGTTATACTCTATTCTGTTTTTTTGCATTATGTTATGTTGTATCATATGGGGGTTTCCGAAAATAGGGGACCCTAATATAGTACCCTATTTAACTGGATCCTTGATATAAGGACCCCAAAATAAGGTACCCCTAATCTTCCGAAACTCCCATATTATATTACTATGTTGTAGTATAGCAGTGAGCCTCGAAGGCCTTCACCATGTCCAAGACCTGAGCTCAGACAGGTCTGCTTGTGAGACTTTGGGAGGCTCCAAGCCATAGCTGCTGTAAATACCATCCTAAACCCTAAACCCTAAACCCTAAACCCTAAACCCCGTGTGGGTTTGGGCTTTAGGGTTCCCGTATTTGTTAGTCCAACTGTTCCGGCAAACAAAAAGACTTCGTCGCGAAATCAAAACGTGCCGTCTTTGGCTTGCCGGCGCTCGGCCAACTGCGGATGATAACAACAGTAATATCGATAGGATAGAAATGGTCATGACCAATTGGCCATATGAATCGTGATGTAGTCCTGGCAATCGAAACATCAAGAGCCACAGCAGCAGCAAATGGTGCCTGTAGTAGTCAGTTGTAGTAGCAGTCGTTGTCGTACTCTATCCATATATATATTTATTTATTTATTTATCTATTTGTTTATTTATTTATTTATATGTATTATTATTTTTATATATGCACAACTAAATAAGGGAGCTCCCTCCTCTGGTTTTGCGCTTTTGGGTGAGGGAGTAACGGAAAAATGCCATTGTTCAGGCTCCGCTACCCATGTACCGCTGGCTCCTCCTTTCCACACTTCGACTGTGACTGTGAGGCCCGACCCTGCTATGCTAGGGAGAAGGGCGTAGAGCTGAATCTTCTCACCCTCTCGTGGGCTGATCGCAGTGACGATGATGTATACTATGCTATGCCTGTACTGTGCTCAATGCTACTCTATTCCGGTTCCGGTTTCGGCATCAAGCCTTGTTCAACCCTCCCCTGGTGGCCAAAATGCCTGCATAGCAAAGGCAATGTTGGCTGCCTGTGAACTGCTTTCATAAAGACCATACTACTGTTGATGATATAAATCCTGCATTACCTTATAAGGACCCTAAACTATGGGAATTATGGTACATTCCCTACTAGGCGTAATGCAGGATTTATGTCATCAACCGTATCTACGCTGTGCTCTGTGCTTGCAAGATGTCGCGAGGCATCGAGGCCCCAGCAGAGTATCCGTTGCCAGAGCCCAAGTTGTGGATGATGCAGCCACCGTCCATGGTCATGAGCTGCCAGGTTCAGGTTTAAGGTTTAGGGTTTAGGGTTTAGGGTTTAGGGTTTAGGGTTTAGGGTTCAGGAGCTTTGCGTTGTGCGCCAGGTTCAGAACTGGAGCATCGTCACGATCGGAACTCTGCTCGATATGCAATATTTCGTTTTCTTATGGTTGCTGCTGCTGGTGCAGGGCGTGGCCTGTATGATAGCCGTCGTTGATATGGGAAATGCTGACAGGGTAAAGAAATCGAACAGGCAGGGCGATGTCCTGCGCAAACGTACGGCGCACTGAAACCAAAGGACACATGCTGCACGGGCACACCGACCAAAACTAGCCATGTGTAAGCAATGTCTCAATAACTATCGTAACCACAGCTAGGATACTGAAAACCAGCCTAAACATCCCTGACATCGTTGATCAGAGGAGTAATGTACGGGCCTTAATAGTTAGGATAGAGTTTTGGGGCCTATTTTACTTTAATCGTAATACGGAACCCCCAAAATATTATAGGTAACTATTTAGGCAACGCTGCATTACGATTGTCTGACCTTCTCCATCGCGCAGATGTGGCCCTCGGCCAGGTCGTCGACGTGGATGTAGTCCTGGCTAAACCCTAAACCCTAAACCCTAAACCCTAAACCCTAAACCCTAAACCCTAAACCCTAAACCCTAAACCCTAAACCCTAAACCCTAAACCCTAAACCCTAAACCCTAAACCCGTAATTCCTGCTT